ACTTTGATTTCTGTTTAGGGGTTGTTGTTTTTTTAACTATGGTCTTAAACTTTTGATCAGCTGAAAAAATCATGTTTGAGTGTAAATGCAGTTTTCAATTAATTCCCCGCTCAAAAGTTGTTGTCTCTTACGCTGATTTCTTCTTTGTGAAGCTCTACTTAGAACCTTCTTAAGATCCAATAGTGCAAAATGCAAATTCTTGCAATTATTTGACTGGTTTTAAGATTTTGATCAGGAGTGTATTACCATGTTTCTTTCAGATTAAAGGTCTGGAATGGTTAGTTTCTCTTTACAATAATAATCTGAATGGGATCCTGGCTGATGAGATGGGTTTGGGAAAAACCATCCAGACGATTGCTCTTATCACCTACCTCATGGAGCACAAGCGGCTCAACGGACCCTACCTCATCATTGTACCCCTCTCGTGAGTTAATCCATCTTTGCAAGATAAGACGTTTACATAAACTGCAGTTTAACGTTATGTTGCTAAAATAAATCTGAGGTGAATCTGTTTGGCAGAACTTTGTCCAACTGGGTGTACGAGTTTGACAAGTGGGCCCCATCGGTCGTTAAAGTGTCCTACAAAGTGAGTTTTTACTTGCATCCGCATTCAGCACATGTGTAACCTTTTGCACACGTTTGTAGAGATTATGTGTGTGTTGTAGGGGTCTCCTGCTGCTAGAAGAGCCTTTGTGCCCCAGCTGCGAAGCGGCAAGTTTAATGTTTTACTCACCACTTACGAGTACATCATCAAGGACAAACAAGTGCTGGCCAAGGTAAGAGTCGTTGGAAAGACGAACACAGACACAAGGATGTGCACAAAACAAGCACAAGCAGACATAATGCAACTCCCACCATTTACATATGCCTTCGATAAGACACTCCATGCAGCTGTTTATGCTCAATTGAATAATCTTTTGACTTCCCAAACCCACTGAAAGGTGTTGAGTCCAATCTGACCTCCCGCTCTGCTGCGTCTCAGTTCTCTCTCCTAGGTTCTGCCGCACATTGACACAGCCTGTCCCCACTGTCCTCTGTGACCGTCATGCCGCCATGCATTCATGTTGTCTTACAGGGTTCCAGAACGGGCTGACAGGTGGGTCAGGCCAGAGTTCTGGTTCAGGACTCAGGCAGCTCTCAAATCATGAGGACAAAGTGGACAGGAAGTCGTCCTTTAAAGCACTTTCTGTTTTCAGATGATTTGGATCAGTACAATAAGCAAGAAAACAGTCTTAAAAAGCTGAAGCACTGGTAAAATATGCTCTCGCTCTCCCGTCCCCCAGATCCGATGGAAGTACATGATTGTGGACGAAGGCCACCGCATGAAGAACCACCACTGCAAGCTGACCCAGGTCCTGAACACCCACTATCTGGCTCCAAGGCGAGTGCTGCTGACCGGGACACCGCTGCAGAACAAACTACCTGAACTGTGGGCGCTCCTCAACTTCCTGTTGCCCACCATTTTCAAGAGCTGCAGCACATTCGAGCAGTGGTTCAACGCCCCGTTTGCAATGACTGGAGAGAAGGTGTGCACTCCACGTAGAAGTATTCTAAAGTAGATGTTTGCAAAGGTTTATTAGAGTTTATATTTTTGATCAAAACCTCTCCTTTTTAAGGTGGATCTTAATGAAGAGGAGACAATCTTGATTATTCGTCGCCTGCACAAAGTGCTGCGCCCCTTCCTGTTGCGAAGGTTAAAGAAAGAAGTGGAGGCTCAACTTCCAGAAAAGGCAAGGGCTTCTTCCCTCAGCACGTACAAGACAGAAACTCCAGATATATATGAGGAGAAGTGTGTCTCACAGCGATAGCAATCTATCCAATTATTACTTTTTCTGGTCCAATTTTTTTGTTTTTTTTGTTTTCGGCTTTCATTTACCTGGAAAACACAAGAGGAACGTATGACTTGTACAACCTTTTCCTCCTCGTGCCCTCAGGTGGAATATGTCATCAAGTGCGACATGTCGGCTCTTCAGAGGGTCCTGTACCGGCACATGCAGGCCAAAGGGGTCCTGCTCACTGATGGATCCGAGAAAGACAAGAAGGTAAAGGCATAAAGCAATAAACATTAATGGCTTCAGTTACCTTTATATCTTGTTATGGGGGTGGAGGTAAGGTTTTACCATAATTTGGTGTCTCTGTGTTTCTAGGGACAGTTTGAATCTCTGAGACGTAACAAAGATCACACGGTGTGAATGTTATTTATCTCTCTGTTATGTCTCTAATTCAGGGTAAAGGAGGCACAAAAACTCTGATGAACACCATCATGCAGCTGAGGAAGATCTGCAATCATCCATATATGTTCCAGCAAATTGAGGTAAAACTGAGATAAATTAACCCTGCACACCTGTCAATCATATGACAAACATCAACTTAAACGATAAATGACAAGGTATATCTTGTTTGTCTTTTAAGGAATCTTTCTCTGAGCATTTAGGATTCTCTGGTGGAATAGTCCAGGGGTGAGAAAGTGCTTCTTATTATGCAAAACACAAACGTTTTCCTCTGTAACTGCATTGCCCTGTTTGCCAGTCCTGACCTTTATCGAGCTTCAGGGAAGTTTGAGGTGCTGGATCGGATCCTGCCAAAGCTGAGGGCCACAAACCACAAAGTGCTGCTCTTCTGCCAGATGACCTCACTCATGACCATCATGGAGGATTACTTCGCCTACCGCAACTTCAAGTATCTGCGTCTGGACGGTACGGCGTCTTTTCAGATGACTTTGCATGCACGTTTCAAATGTTCATGTCCCACCTCCAACAAAACTGTTTAAAAATCTCTCTGTCATAAAGTATTCATTGTGGAAAATGAAACCTGAAAATTTAAACAGGGCTGTCTCTACCGAATCTGCCACTCATTTTTAGGCAAAATCCCTTAAAATTTCTTCTGTGCTGCATCCTACAACAGATACTACTTATTAGCTCAGCTAAGACTGACATCAAATAGCAAAGTAATGCATATTTGCAAAGTGGAAAGAATTTTAATATTTTTGCAAATAAAAATCTTGAAACTCTGTGGTGCATTTGTGTTCAACCTCTGAAGATTCGAATTCCTAATAATAATAATAATAATAATAAAAAACAAGAAGCATTTTTCTTCCACCTCCCAGTGGAAGAAATTTGACCTAGCAAATAAAATTATAATTAAACATCTGGAAGTTTGTGGTTGGAATGTGACTAAGCAAGGCAAATGTTTTGCAAAAGTCTCCTTTAAATCATTTTACTGTGGATTCTGGGCCATATCTTAGTGTGCAGGAGGAAGATAGAGGTCAATACCTTTTCCTGGAAGGCTACTGTCCTTTTTTGCTAAGTTGCCACGTTACAAGCACTGGAAAAAGCATTGCAGTACGTATTTGTGGAAGTTGCAGGTATCCATTTTATTAAAAGTAAAAAAAAAAAAAATGCTTCAAGTGTCCTTTACAAACATTCCTAAGAAGACCTAAAGTTATTTCTTCAGAGACACTGTTTTAATTAAACACAAAATTTAAATGAACTCCTATAATAACTTACAAACACCACAGAAAGCAGAAAGACGTGAGGGAAAAAAAAAACAACCTTTCTTGACTTATAGATGAGTGCGACTTACATATCAACATTTTTGTTTTCTTTTTGAAGTTAGTAGGTGCAGCTTATATTCGGGTGCGCTCAACAGTCCAGAAATTACAGCATGTTTCTCCTCTTCTTTACATATCAGGCACAACAAAGGCTGAAGACCGAGGAATGCTGCTGAAGACATTTAATGACCCGGAGTCAGAGTACTTTATCTTTCTGCTGAGCACCAGAGCCGGAGGTCTCGGCCTCAACCTGCAGTCTGCAGACACTGTGATTATTTTTGACTCTGATTGGAACCCACATCAGGTGTGTAAACCTACAACCAATGATCAAACATCAAAGGAAAAAAAAAATCACATCGTGTTTTCATCATTTGTTTAGCACTTATTTTCCAATTTTCTTTGCAGGAAAATGACAAATTAGGGAATATATGATGTTTCTCTGCAGGACTTGCAGGCTCAAGACAGAGCCCATCGCATTGGCCAGCAGAACGAGGTGCGAGTGCTGCGCCTCTGCACCGTCAACAGCGTGGAAGAGAAAATTCTGGCAGCCGCCAAGTATAAATTGAATGTCGACCAGAAAGTCATCCAGGCTGGCATGTTCGATCAGAAATCCTCCAGCCACGAGCGCCGGGCCTTCCTGCAGGCCATCCTGGAGCACGAGGAGCAAGACGAGGTCTGGGGTCAAGAGCTCGTGAATGTGTGTGCCTGCACCGGCAACACCTCATTTACACCCCCTAGCTGCTGCTGCTGCTCTTTTGCCAACGCGTGTCTGCTGCTTTCAGGAGGAGGACGAGGTGCCGGACGATGAGACCGTCAACCAAATGATCGCCAGGAGCGAGGAGGAGTTTGAGCAGTTCATGGTCAGTCTCTGAGTAACAATCAGAACTTTGACGCCGAGTCAGGAAATCTTTAACCAGGACAGTCTTGTCTCCTTCCCCCCCACAGCGCATGGACCTGGACAGGCGCCGCGAGGATGCTCGTAATCCTCGGCGAAAACCTCGTCTGATGGAAGAGGACGAGCTTCCCACCTGGATCATGAAGGACGATGCTGAAGTGGAGCGTCTGACCTGCGAGGAGGAGGAGGAAAAAATGTTTGGGCGAGGTTCCCGACAGCGCAAGGAGGTGGACTACAGCGACTCACTGACAGAGAAACAGTGGCTCAAGGTGGTTTTCTGAAAGACTCACAAAGTTGACAGAGAATATGTATGAGTCAGTGGCTTTTTAGTGACTTTAAAAAGATATATTAAACCAGCAATATATATTTTTTTCTATTCAGGCAATTGAGGAAGGCACACTTGAAGAGATGGAGGAAGAAGTGCGACACAAAAAGACAACCCGAAAGAGGAAGAGGGACCGTGACCTGGATCTCCCAGGACCTTCGTCTTCCTCTGGGAGCCGGGGACGCGGCGACAGGGATGATGATGGGAAGAGGCAAAGGAAGAGGGGAAGACCGCCGGCTGAGAAACTCTCCCCGAATCCTCCGGGCCTCACAAAGAAAATGAGGAAAATAGTGGATGCCGTCATCAAATATAAAGACAGGTGAGGGAAATGAGCCCAAAAGGGAGATTTGTTTTTTTCAACATGTCACTTCTAGCATCTCCTTACCAATGTCTTTTTAACATGCTAATTTTTGTGACTGTTGGCCTGCTTTTGAGTAAAATTGTTGCAAAGTCAAAAATGTTCTGCGTCAAAGCTGCATCTATTTCCTCCAAAAATCCAAATCGTCATCCAAACGTGGAAACATGAACTGTTTTCTGAATTAACTGCGTGAAATGACGTCATGCATACAGAGTGGATGCTCCTCTGTTAATGTAACCGCTGTTTCTCTTAAATTTTCTTGTAATGCAAATAGGTTTAATAGATAGAGGATGAAGGCCGGTTTGTTTTTCTTATGATCTCCTGCAGCACCAGCGGGCGTCAGCTCAGCGAGGTTTTCATCCAGCTGCCGTCTCGAAAGGAGCTGCCCGAGTACTACGAGCTGATCCGCAAGCCCGTGGACTTCAGGAAGATCAAGGTAGGACGATCCTTCTAAAATACGAGAGAACAACGACTGATCCCTTAATCGTGATTCACGTGATGTGGCTTTCCTGTAGGAGAGGATTCGAAGCCACCGCTACCGCAGTCTGGGTGACCTGGAGAGAGACGTCATGCTGCTCTTCCAAAACGCTCAGACCTTCAACCTGGAGGGTTCCCTGGTGAGACCCCCGTCACGCTTCTTTGTGCGTGACGTCGTTCACGCCGTTATGATAGCAATGTTTTGTTTTTTGATAGATATACGAAGACTCCATCGTGCTGCAGTCGGTGTTCACCAGCTTGAGGCAGAAGATCGAGAAGGAAGAGGAAAGCGAGGGAGAGGAGAGCGATGAGGAGGAGGAGGAGCAGGAGGACGGATCGGAGTCAGAATGTGAGCACCTCTGTGCAAACGAAGCAAAGACTTTCACTTTATTTTATTCTATTTACTATCTATTTAGTGTATTCAATTATTTATTGACATTGTTTGACTTCTAGAGAAAAGGGTATTCATACCCACTGGACTGTTTCAAAGGCTGCACTTGCCAAACACACACTTCAGTGTATTAGGAGTGGATTTTGCGTGAAATCCAAAGTAGTGCATAATTGTGAAGTTTTTATTATTTTTGCCAAATTAGAATCTGAAAAGTGTGGCATGTATTTATATTTGATGTTACTTTGATACCCGTAAATAAAAACTTCACCAAAGTCCTGAGTAGAGTCCTGGGGACGTGAACGCTCTGTCTGAATGTTCTGCTCATTCCTTCGTTTATTTCTGCTCCAAACACCACCTCTGTGTTTTGTACACAGCTCGCTCAGTCAAAGTGAAAATCCGCCTGAGTCGGAAGGACAAAGGTGGAGAACGAGGAAAGGGCCGCAGCAGGCGAACAGGACGCACCCGGGCAAAACCGGTCGTCAGTGACGACGACTCCGAGGATGAACAGGAGGAGGTAACTACGGCTGGGTGTAGCCACGCACTGCAGCACAACAAGGGAGGTTAAAACACTTTCAGAAAGCTGAATATTTAAAGTAAAAGGGAAGTTATGAAGAGACAAAATGAAGTGTAGATATGGGTTTTAAGTTGTAACTTTTCACATACAACCTGCTCTTCTTTTAATGCGACAGTTAGTTTGGAGAATAAACCAGACCGAAATAACCTGCTTGTCCGTTTCCCAGGAGCGCTCAGCCAGCGGCACTGATGAAGAGGCTTGAACTATACCAGGAGCTTAAAGAGAGAGAGGCACCAATGGATTTTCCAACAAGTCAAAAAAACACATAACCATATAAAGAAGCCACAGTCAGCTCCATCCACCCTCAGTCAAACGACACCTGAAAGAAAGGGCAATAGACGAGGTTCGAGATAAGAACAGTTTCTGAGCTGAAAACGCCCGAAAATAAATGAATCTGTTATCGCAGTTGCAGAATATGACTAAGAAATTAGGGAAAATGCACTCAGCTCAAATCTTCCCATATCTGCAATCAGGGTCGTAGTGAAAAAGTTTAAAACAGCAGTGACCAAGAAGGCTGGATGAGGACCGGTGTTTATGTTGCCAAGAGACGGACGTTAGAGGAGGGAGTGAAAAATGGTCCCAACTCAGAGGTAGAAAACTGCAGGTTGGAAAATTGCAACTGCAATAAGAGATATTATATATTAGATTACATTTCTTTAAATCAGTCACTGTCTGCGTGGCTGAGGCTAAACACAGTTTGCAGGGGGGCTTAATGTAATGCTGATATTTTAGACAGATTCTATAAAGTTCCTCACAATCATCAAGCAGGATAACCATGTCCAACCGGTGGATTTTTGGCAAAAAGTTTGAAGTTTAGAAGCTGCAGAAGGATGCAGCCGCCAGCCCGGTTCATCATGTGACGCCCAGTGAGTTGAGTTAAACATGATTGAGAAAGCAAACATGGTGCCAACTGCACAAAGCAGAGCTGTGGTAGAGGAAGTGATGTGCAACTGCTAAAATTTATTATAAGCTATAAAAAAATACTGACATCATTTTTTTGTTTTTTTATCCTAAGGATATTGTGGTCTGGTATTATCTTTATCATGTTAGCAGGATGTGGTCTTAATTGTTTTGATGTTTTTTGTTTGTTTGTTTTATGGTTGTCATCCTTTACCTGTAGGTATTTCTGACCTTAATTATAGGAATATTTAAATATGGAGCATATTTAAGACACATTTTTTAAAAAAACTGAAACACTAATTTATTTTACTTCTAATCTTTGTAATTGATATCATGTGATTGTGCACACTTCTAATGTTAATTCAACAATAGTTATTGAGTTTTTGCTGCTCTTCCACAAACACAGTTCTTTTTCTTTATTGCTCACTGCAGACTGAGATTCTTGCTGTTCATCTTTTATTTATTGGGGTAAATACAGCATCGTCATTCTGTGATATGGAGAATGTTCATAATTGATTTGTTAAGCTTTTAAAGCAGAATTGAAAAGTCTAGTTAAAATTATGTTTACCCAGATCATAAAAGATTGTTGAAGTGTTAGATTTTTCTTTTTCCTCAAACCAATATTTAAGGTTTTCCGATTGTGCTTTTTTTTTTTTTGAAGAATTTCTAAAAAAGAAAAAAGAAAAAAAAAAACGACTTCCACACTTCCATGAGGAATTAAACCTGTTGAGGATTGGAGTAAAATCAAATCAACAACAATGAATGTAAACAGAAAATGAGTGCAGATAAAACGCACATCTTAACAACCCAGCCTGGAGAACATAAGCAAGCCTGTCCCTTGAATCAGTCTTCAGCCGTGTGTTTGGCCCCTGTGTTTGGCCCCTCCGGAGACACCGGGATCAGCAGATCGTGTGTAAATCAGGTGTTTGTCGCCGTCGGATCTGGAGAGCGAAGCTGCCGTGGGCGCGATGTGTTCGACAAACCCACCAGGGTTATTAGACTGAGGCTTAATGGAGCTGAGGTTACAGCATAAAAAACAACCCAGCTGCTGCTTCACTGATACCTATTAAAGGTAGACTTGAATAATTTTTAGTTTGTATGAGTACTGTAGCTTTAATTGTTTCTTCTTCTTCAGTTGTTGCGTAGTGATTTTAGGATTTCAGAGCTGTTTGGGGGGAGGGTTTGCACTTTTTTTTTTTCCTCTCTTTTCAAGACAAAGGACCAGGGGGACAGTGGCTCCTCTCTGCTTGTGACTGCCTCATTCGAGGCTGTATGGTGTTGGATATACTGTGAAAACTATTTATAGAGTATAATGTCAGTGCACGTATGTACAGCTTGCAACTCATGTACTGTAACTTTTTCCTCATCCTCGTAGGTAACCAGAGTGAACCAAAGCATCACTGTTTCCTCCACTGAGTTAACATGTGTCTGTGCTGTGCTGTATCGCTGTTGCTCATACTTATATAAAACAATAAACTGTTGACATTGTGCGATGGTGTGCTGTTGTTAAAATGCCCATTTTTCAGCTCAACTTATAGTTTTAGGTGCATGACATGTAATGATCCTGTTTCTCCACTGGGAGGAGTTCTTACATAGACACATAGAGCAGCTAAGTTCAAGCCTCTGCATCTTTGGTTTCTTCTTTCTTCTTTTTTTTTTAAATATTTTATACTACAGGGAGAGATAAACTAAGCTTCCTTAGAGAATGTTTACTACAACCTCCCTCCCTTCTTAGGCTCACTTCTCAGTCAGATTTCACAAAAAAAAAAAATCCCACAAATAAAAAATAAATAAATAAAATTTTGGCAGTTCACTTTAATGAAGTGAAAGTCAGCAGTTTTTATATTTGTGGATATACATTAGGTCTGCTGACTCGGAATGAGCAGAGTGAGGGTGGGATCTAACATTTTAATTGCAACCACAGACCTCAGTTTCCTGGTTTCTAGGAAATTATACTCCCAGCCTCTTCACTTCACGTTATGCTGAGGATGACTAGTTCTCCAAATGTTTTTTCTTTTACTGGAACTACAAAGCACAACACTTTGCAAAAGCATTACTACCCTTTCACCCTTTGTTAACATTTTGTCAAGTTAAAACCATAAATTTGTGATTTTTTTGTTTTGTTTTGTTTTGTTTGATACAACACAAGCTGCATAAATGTGAAGTGAAAGAATTTTTTTTTTTTTTACCAATTAAAATTTTTAATTTGTGCCATACTATCTGTACTAAGTCAATACACAGTTTGCTGCTGGTTTGCACTGACTTGCCAGTTTGGTTGGAGCATGTGTGCACATGTTATTTGCCATCCTTGCACCAGGTTCTCAATTAGTTTAAAGTAAAAACTTTGACAAGACCCTGCTAACACTTCGATCATATTCCTAAACTTTTCAGCATTTGACCCCACAACATAGAAGTGAAAGAGATTCATGATCCCAGCTATTGTTTTACTTTATTAGCTCCATCCATCTTTCCATTAACTCTGACCTGGTTCTCAGGAGAAAAGCATCACCACAGCATGATGCTGCCATTACCAGGATTCACAGTTTTTCACCAGACATGGAGTGTTGAATGTTAGTCAAAAAGTAACCAGACTAGAGAATCTTCTTCCATTTTTGTTGGGATCTTTATGTGGTTTGTGGTACACAGCAAACACAACTTATGATTTTCTTTTAATAGTGCCTTTCTGTCTTTGTAATTCTTCTAGAAAAGTCGAATTTGTGGGATGAATGCCTGATTCAAAGCCTCATTAAGCTGATCGTTTCAGAACCTTACCGTGGTTCTTTAACAAACCTTTGAGACTCTCACAACAGCTGAATTTATTCTGATATTAAATCACACAGAAGCGGACTCTAGTCAGTAATCAGGAGACTTTTGAAGGCAATTGGTTGCCTCCTATTTAGGGGTATCACAGTAAAAAAGTATTTTAACTTAGTTTATTCACCTTAATTCTTTCTTCTTTTTTTTTTACTTATTGTACTTCAACGAATCGTTGGTCCTGTTTAGCTGCTTTATAAAAGGGATGCAAGTCCAGACCGTCATTTATTAGTCCATGTGTTTGCTCACAATTTTATTACTATGTGACATTTACAATATTCAGCCTGCCCCTGTAAGAATTACCTTGTGAGGAAAAACACCAATAACAAGGATATAACCATTGCGAGATCAATGAGCTGAGTTCCCCATGCCAGCTTCATTATTAGCTCTATACTTCTGGGTTTGATAGATACAGGCTTTTCTTTAATACATTATCTTTTAAAGGAAGTTATTTTAGGGTAGTAGATATAATTTACAGTTTTATTACTTTCTTTTAGTGCATTATGATGTGCACATCTAAAAAAAAAAGCAAACAATTATTTTAAAGCTGGCACCATGGAAGTAGTGAGATGTGTATCCGTGTGTGCTCATAGCTCCGATATGTTGTTACTCATGTACCATTACTGATACTGTCAGTATCGCTATCATCAAAACTGTCCTGATGGCCTGGATGTTTTTAAATGTGTCTGTTCAGATATTTTTAAGCCGAGACGCGACGAGATTTACAGATGACTGGGCACAAGCCGTACGTAACACCGGGTCTTTACTCATTATCAAAACATGCACTCAGACGTGCCGTTGACAACACTTTGTTCCTGTTGGACTTCCGTTTGAGCTTCTTTTTTTTATGTGGAGAATGTAAACAGTGTGGATTTACAAGCATCACATTCTATTAACGAGGAACCAATCCATGTCTTTTGTTGCATAGCGCAAACATTGTCATCGAAGTATCCAAGTGAACAGTTTGGAGCAAGAAGCTCTACTTCTGTCCCGCAAAATTTACAAATATACAGTTATTTGTGCACAAGATGAATTAGTAGGAATATACAAAACCAAACTTGTGATGTTTATTATTATTTAAAATATTTTATGTGGCCCCCACTCCAAATTTAACCTGGTTTAGGGCCTAAAAACAGCCTTGGACAGGATTTGTTTGCTATGCAAAAACACCAAAACTAGCAACACAAATGTAGGTTTTCATCAAATGACTGATGAGACATTAACATCAAAGCAGAAATACAAATCCTAACGCAATTTGGAGAACTTTTGTTTTTCCATCTTCTTTTTGCTTTCTAGATTTTTTTTTTTTTTAGTAAGTTTTAGTAAATGTGTAAATGCAAATTGTAAGTTTGCATTTTGGGGGTAAATTACTTCCAGTAAAAAACCATCACACATACAAACCAAAGCAACATTTCAGCCTGAGAGGAACATAAGAGTGTATTTAGCTGTGTTAAAAAAAAATCTTCGACCACTAAATCCTTCTTGTTTTTCTTAAAATAACACATTTTACAGCATTTGTTTCAGTGATTTCTTGAAAGGTGTCGGGCATCTGAGTAAAATGGGAGAAATGCGGAATATGAACAGAGGTTATCAGACAACTGATCAATGCTGTTGTTGGTCGAAGCACAGACAGCGACCACATGTAGAAACTGATAGCAGAGATATTAAATAGAGCTGAACAGATATTACCCATGAATAGCGAATATGAATGAGCTTTAGAAAGATAGCGTTGTACTTCAGCTGCTGGCTATTCCATGCAACACAGTTGACATATAATTAAAAAAAAAAAAAAATTGAACGATGATAACATTAGCTTTGTCTGCACAGGCATTTTTGTTTAGACTTACAATGATGTAGCAAGCAGTTGACTAGGTGTACCTAATAAAGTGGCCCATGGTTATTGTGTGTCTTACTTTAGTAATTCAGCTTTAGGCGACTGTCTAGGTGTCCACTCCACTGTGGTAGTTGGATATCTCTTAGTAAGAACTGAATACACAATTAAACACCGTCTTTCAACTGTACAAAAATCATATAAGAAAATATGCATTATGGGAATTTTTGCAGAGGTGGAACTTGGTATAAAAAGCTTCCGAATTGCTTTGTCTAACGCAGTCCTACAAGCCGACAGTGTGAAACTGCACCATTCATGTTGTAGCTACAGTGTGTCTGAGTCTGCAGCGGGTGGAGCAAAGAATGCAACCCAGCAGCAATTCTGACATTTATGGAAAACCTCAAGATGCTCATTCCTGGGCAACATTTGAATGAGGTCCACTCACCACACACCTATGTCTTTTATTTTTTTTTCCCGACTCATTTAGTGAATTATGAAAGGGGCGCCTCCCCAGGGTGCCTGTCAGAAAAAGGATAACCTGATTTTTTTTAAACTTATATTCTTAATAATAACAGCAGTTCTCTTAGTGAGACCACAAAGGATTATGAGTCATGAAACATAGTTCAAACATTGAATCACATTGAATCAGAGTGAGAAAAGCTGTGACAATAAACATTAAAGAAGGGAGCAGACTCAAGCTGAGCTTGGGCTCAGATTCACACTCAAATAAGTGAAACCTCCCAGCAACTCGGCTGGAAGGAAGCTGCATAATATTTGATTTGACTTTAATTTAAGTAGAAACATTCAAATGAATAGGTGCCTAAATAAACAGAATAAGCAGTTTAAATGTCATTTTACCAAACTGAAGTGGAAAAAAAACCCCAGATCTGCTTTAATTCGTTGCAGGAACTAGACCTAACAGATGTAAAACATGATTAATTTGTGTGCAGTGTCAATGCTCTAATCAAAAAGCAAATAGAGACATTTGCAAAACAAAATATCCCCTTTTCCACTGATGTAAAATACATCTTAGAGCACAGCACAAAAAGAGGTGAAGTTACTGGAACTGATCTGGGTATGGAAGCGAGATGCCTTAGCTTCAGATAACATCCTATCTTTTTCTGGAAGCTGAATAATTTGGGAAAGCATGTGCAATATGTCACAGTCTTCTTCTGCTCTTTATTCTAATCTAGCTCCAGAGAAACTCACAGAAAGCCCAGTGACTGGCCTTCCTCTGCATGGTGTTAATATACTATTAAAACAGATTGTCCTACAGCTTTTAGATTAAGCCAGAAGGAAAATGGTCAAATTCACAGATTACATGATGCAATTTTCCATAGATAAGTGGCACAAATAAGTTTTGTATATAAAATGGGGAGAACTTTGACCAGAGGGGCATAATGATGCAATTGTAGGTAAAGCACTTTAAACATTTATGCCTGGTGTTGATTAAAAAATTACATAATTAATTTTCAATTTGACTTTTTTATAAGATAATTGTGTTCATTAACTTAGATATTCTGGCTTTTATTGACACTAATCTATGACTTCCTGCTTTCTGAGTCATAAATGTAACAGACTGAATTCTCTTAAGCACTTTTCAAACTAGGAAAAAAAACAAGAAAACTACATGAAACCCATGTCTTTGTGAATTTTTCTTCATAAGTCAGGAAATAGCAACAAAAACAAATATCTATTCAGGTAAATGTGCTCATATTTACAGTCAGATCTGTGACAACCTAGGCTGGAAGAGGAGCCATATTTGTCTTGCCATCTTCCTGCTGTAAGCAGGATTGGAAATTAAATTAATCTATAAATTTCATTCTTAGAGAAGTCTCCAGAA